GATAGCTAGAGAGCCGGGAGTTGCATAATTTTGTAGAGTAACGTCCGGACTATCTACGCATGCAAAAAAGTTACTAACATTGTATTTTAGTTTTCTGAGAACGAAGCCGATTTTTCAAAGATCCTCTAAAAAACTGGTTTTTCAAAAAAAATTTAAACAACTTTCCGCTTGTAAAAAGATGCTCTATCGAGTCCTCTTTCTATATGCAAAAACCGCAGCTCTCTAGCTTTTGCTATTCAAAAGTTATTCAAAAAATACCCACGGACCATCCTTTTTTTGGATGGACAATACTTCTAAAGTGTATTCTGCATTGTTTAGGCAAAAATCCCGTCAGAAATCACTGTTGATTTAACGGATGTGATACTGCACGATCCAAAACTTGAATATGAAAATTAGCTCAAATTAACTGAAATTGAAAACCAATTTAATGTAGTGTTTTGTGATAAAGATAAAAAAGTTCTGCATCGAAAATGTCAATTACATCTGAATTCAATAAGGATTTATGCTAAGAAAAAGCTCAGAAACATAAAGTGAACGCTAGTCATTATCCATCTAAAACATTTCAATTACAAATACATAATTTAAACGCAATTTTGCCTTCACCACCATCCACGTTTTTTGCAACAACAGTGGTCATACCATATCCACGAGTTATTTTCCCTCTCAAAACGTATAAATTTCAAAATCGAGTTCCTAGAGCAAATAAATACACCACCCCCACAGTCTACACCAATATCACCCCGATCTCCTGTCTACTCTCCCTTTAAATGGGGTAAATCACCTTCAAAATCTCGAAAACGAACAGCAAAGCTGTGAGGTTCAATTGACGAATACTTTGATAATAAAGAAAATCAGAACTCTATTAAAGCACAAGTTAAATGTACCATTATGTACATCTGTTATTGTGGAACATGAGAAATGATATTAGTGATAAAGCGGCCGATGAACTACATCATATAGATGACTCAGCTCCTACTTTATACCATAACGGAATCCCAAAAAAATTTTTACCAGATCCTGGAGGATAGTCATCTAGTTTTTCATTTTAACAGCGACCATCTCTAGACGTTTTCCTCTTTGCTGTGTTATTTTACACTCTATTTATTTTCTCTCTTCATACAAACAATAAAAGACTTTTTTTTCTTTTTACCTTGTCACTCTATACATTTCCACTATACCATTGTTCACATTATTCATGTTTCACTGATACTGACTATGGTCTATGCTGATATATAGGTCTTTTTATCTCGCATGCTTTCTTACTATCTCTTTCTCTCTTAATATATGAGGGCTTGGCGAAAATCAATATCGAGAATATCCGAATCCAAAGCTAAGAAGAGCTAACTGCTTTCTTCTATATCTAGCTTTTGTGCCTTTACGACTTTTCTGCTTTTGTATCTTTTCGGCCTTTACGGCTTTTCTGCTTTTATACCTTTCGACACGAGACTTCGGATGAGGCAGTGCAACGTTGTCGGGTCACTCACCCTCATGCCACTACCCTCCTCCCTGCTTTGTTTTCTTTCATAACAGGTATTCGTACCTCGAACACCACTGTATCGGATATTCCTGATTTTGAATATCCGCATACCTCTCTTCATATAAACAGAAAAGGACCGTGTTTCCTTTTTATCTTGTCACTCTATACATTTTCAATATACCATTGTTCATGTTTCACTGATACTGACTAGGGTCTATGTTAATATATAGGTCTTTTTCTCTCGCATGCTTTCTTACTATCTGAAATGTTGATCCATCATTATCTTCTTCGAACGCGATAGTGATATTGTTGAGACGATTCTATATACAAAGTTTCATCATAGTCGGTTCACACCATGTGGGCGGTCAGGAATCATGAAATGCCAAAAAGTGCTTAGAAGCTTGTTACTTCAAAGTTTCTGGGCACTTTCTTTAGTCATGACATGGATCGACAGCGTCTTCATGCGATAGACAATAGGATTCTGTATCGAATTGACTATTTAAGACACTTGAAATATGTGACATAACGAAACAGGAGATCAAAACTACTTCAAGCAATTTATTAATGGTCGACAAGTAACAAGTTTCTAAGCACTTTATAACATTTCTTGATTCATGACATAGACAAGTTACTTACATAGAGAATACAATTCTGTGTCGAATGGACCATTTTAGAGTCTCGATACATGTGACACAGCGAAATATGATATCAAAAATTCTTCGAAGCCTTTTCCAACTCGTCGATAAACAACCCGTTGCTGAGCACTTCTTAACATTTCTTGACTCATTACATCGATCGAAAGTGTCTTTATGCGATGGAGAATACAATTCTGTAACCAACAGACTAGTTTAGAGTCTGTATCGAATTGACTATTTTAGACTCTTGATACTTGTGATATAACGAAACAGGAGATCAATAATACTTCAAAAAATTTCACACCGATCATCAGCCCATGAAGTACCGATTCCTACGATCTTTCTCGTTCAAATTCAAGATAATTCCAGCAGTGTAATGAAATAAAAAGATCGTGTAGGATCGGTGTTTTTTGACCTCGTGATCGCTGTAGATCGATCTTAGTCTTTTTCTTGGATCGTCCAGATCGGTGCATACCTAGTTTGATTTATAGATTTAAAAAATTACACGTTGAGTTCTAGAGAAAATGAGATATTTAATTACAATTAGGAATTTTTATCTTAGAGCATTGAATCTGTCCTCTATTATCATTTTCTGCTCATATTTCGCACTAAAACTCAGGTAGACGATTATTTGCTTTTTCTTTTCATTTGCTTCTAATAGAAAGAATGTAATGAATCTCTATGAACTAAAAAAAAGGACAAAAAACGGCTCGTTCGTTATCCACAATGGAGATCGTCTATAAATGAAAGATATGTCATAAAAGCGACGCTACCGAATCATGTTACTCTAAATCCATATAAATTCTCTCATCAACGAAAAAGTGTTTATCTCGAAATTAGAATATAAAAAACATTTTTAGTCTGAATTGTTCGTTAGTTTTCAAAAGATGATTTATACTGCGAACATCTGACAGGTACCTATGTTTCGTATCATTATGTATAGTTTTCATCTAGATTATACATGTGAAAGATAAAGATACAATATATTCGTGCTTTCATATATGTTAAAAAGAGACAGGTTTCCATTCGTATATCTGTTTTTAGTATTGTCAACATTACCCATCTTAATCGTATCTTTGCAATGTTACACATGTAATATCCTCTTTACATTAAATTATACTGTAACGAGTCATACAGTTACTAGGTTTACTGATTGTGGACTGATCAATGCTTCGCAATGCACGATTTCTGTAATTTGGCTTCAATTTGGCTTCGAAGGGAATCGGATTATCGAAGTGTTTCGTTTATTAATGATACATTGATACTTTTAGATTTTTTTACGTTTTTAATAAAACATAATACATTCCAAATGATACGAAAAAATCGAAGTAAACTGATACTGTGATAGTGTCGAAAGCTCGCGATTTGTATGTAAAATGATTTTAGTTCGATTTTTTCGTATCATTTGGAATGTATTACCAATGATACATTGCATCATTTCATCTTAGCTATCACTTACTTCTGATGAAGACATTCCAATAGTACCACATGGTCTTCAGTTTGGATGTATATCATGCGAGAGATGCAATGATGGGATGAGTTTGAAGAGAATTGTCTAATCACTAGTTATCACAGATAATTTTGTCCAAGGATTTTTTTTAATTCAACCTGTTCATCCTTTTACTAATGAACAACAAATAGTCATCTTTCAGTAAAGAAATCTGCGCAACACGTCCTAAAGATTTTATAGGTGACTGATTCTCTTCAAAGTTGTATCATCGAATGTTTCCGATCACTGTATACCAAAGAAGTCGTTTAAGTTTATGAAACTCAAGCCAGTTTGTAGAGATCGGCGAGGCGACATTGTGCATGTAATTAGATCAAGCCATTACTCATTTGGACACTTCGGGCTACGTCTTCATGTACTTTTCTTAAAATCGATATCTTTGACGAAAATCATCATTTCTGATCGAGCGGGAGCGGACGGCCCAATACTGGAAATATAAACATCTCAAGTGAACATTTTCTGAAAACTTGTACTATGGAGATAGAAGATTATAACAAACCTATTCTACTAAATAAATTATAGTTTAGAAACCGATAGTAGAAAACAAGACAAAAAAAGTCGAAAATACAAAAGGACCCATCCTCGCTCTTAAGATGTTCACTGAAATTGTTTCTTTAATTTCTGCATGCTTAATCATTGCAGTTTTCTAATTCTATCATTGTAATAAAAAGAAGCATTAATGGCCTTCAAAAACGGTTTACTCTTCATAAAAAATATTTGTTTTTCCATCCATGAAAGAAAATACACCTGTTATCATTTATTTATTTCAAAATTTGAGATATAGACCCAACTTCTCTAAATTACACTTCTGTTTTGTCCTTATCGGTTGACGAAAGCTTGAAACAACAAGCTTAAAATCCTTGATTTAAAAAGCAATTCTCAACGTTATTCATTGTTGGTAAAAATGGAAAATGTATCGGATGCTATATGTGTGTTTCTCTGATGATTAATGTCATTAACTATTGCCAGTCAAAATAAAAGTTCATTTAATTTTTGTACGAATATCGAATAAATGTGCCGTAGCACTGCCATTCCGATCCAGCATCAAATGTAAATTTCATTGTGTTTGTACCTTTACGATTACGAAAACATGTTGGTTTGTCAGATCCAGTTAGAAATGAAATTCGAATTTGTCTGCCTGTCCATTCATCATGATACCAAGCATTCTTCAAACAGAAAACCGGCTCAATGCAAAGATTATAAGGTTTGCCCGACATTTCTCGCTCAAACACAATTGTCAAATTATTAGTTGGAGCATCCCAAAATATTTCAGGTTTTTCACAATCCTTCATTTCTGGTAAATTCAAGTGGAATGTTGCGTCCTTGCATGCAGTACCCACAGTAATATGACAATCAATCGGTTTCGACCAACCTGCCTGACAGCTATCATTGGTAGTACTGCCATAAACTACCGATATCAAAACAATAAAACTTATTCCAATACTGAAGTGCAACATGATTTTCTTATTCAAGGTCTTTTTTCGTCAGATTTATATATATGTATATATATATTTACTTATCTGATATGATGGGAAAAATTGCATCACATGCAAATGTGAGTTAGGCTAAGCAAGTATATTTTTAAAAAATCATACATCGAACTAGTGTATCGAGGTGAATAGAAGAAAATCGTGTTATTAAGTGCCGGTCGAAGATCAAACTTTTGATTCCCCAATATCATATAAATTGCTTCATTGCGTACACTGAGTAAAAGAGTCAAACCCACATTTTTCTGTAATGGCATAGTGGAACTCACATTTGCATGTGATGCTATTTTTCTCCTCATATCCGATAAGTAAATATAAATATACATATAAATCTGACGAAAAATGATCTTGAAAATCATTTCGCACCTCAATATTAGAATAAGTCTTATTGTTTTGACATCGGTAGTTTATCGCAGTACTATCAATGATAACTGTCATGCAGGCTGGACGAAATCGATTGATTGTCTCATTACTGTGCGTATTGCATGCAAGAGCGTAACATTCGTCGTGAATTTACCAGAAATGAAGGATTGTGAAAAACCTGAAATACTTTTTGCTAAACTTTTTAAGATCAAAATAGATGACAGAAGTAATTTTCAGGGAAAAGAAAGTATTTTGCTTTTCTCTCGAAACTGTACTTTTGCTCGACAAAACTCACTGTTCGGCGTATTTCTCCCTAAGAAATAGTCAAAATGCATCGTTCATTTTTTAATTGAAGCTAAGTTATATAAATACAACATAACAGAGCACGATGTTTCATGTAGACCGTCATTTGTTTATATTATTGAAAGTTATATGCCAGTTTTCTTCGAACTTTCTATGTGAAATTCTTCGAAAAATAAAACAAAGAAAAAATTCAAAAAACCGACTCTTTTACGTTGTTGCTCTAACTTTGTTTTATACGTTAAAACAAACCTGACCTCTACGGGGGTTTTCTGAGAGAAGAAATTGCCCCATTTTAACCCATGTTTGGGCGACATTTCATAAACGATGGTAGATAGGGTCACCAAAGTCGTATGGTATCTATTCCTCAACATGTCCAACATTCTACAGAATTTTCGTTCAGATCAGACTTGTGGTTCCAGAGATAGATTTTTGACCGGGGAGTGGGGTCCTTAAGTACGTGTGTTTGTCAAATATTTATTTCCATTTGTCATGTTCTTTATTCCTTTCCTTCCGTACTGTGAAACAAAAAGGAGGTGCATAAGGCTAAGTGCAGAAAACAAAAGAAATAATTAATCAAAAGTTAAACGGTTTTGTAAACTTTTACCTTAGTTTTTCCTATTAAGAGGTAAATGGAAGAAAATTGGGCGATTTATATATTCTCATTGCTTTTAAAATCGAAGGATTTTGGACAATGCTTTTTCCTCAACGAGCCCTTAAGTTAACTCATTCGATATTCCGAGTAACGTAAACTATACTAACGTCTTCGTAAAAGATTGCCACAAAACAATTATGTTCGAGACTACTGTGTTCATACAGTTGAATAATGCGGTTGATGATCAAGTTCCAGTTCAATTTATTTTGGACTGGCCAGGAAACACAAAAGTTACAGAGAATAATAACATTAGGTGTCTGGTGGATCCAGATACTCTTGTGAGCCCGCAAACGTATAAATAAAGAAAAAAAGAAAAAAACCAAAAGAGAAAGAACGATAATAACAAAAATAATCAAAAAACAATAGATAAAGTTCCTGAGTGAATGAAAAAGAAGAGAATAAATTTTTAACAGGCAAAGACAATTTAGAGACAAGCGACAGTGAGACATGTTAATCCAATTTCAGGTTCTGACGCAGCATTACTTTAAAGACTTTATGGCTATTCTGAAGCGTCAGACAAGAAGAAAGATTGTTCCGATCCTTGATAGTTTTAGGGTAAAAAGATCGGGCAGTGCCTTTCAGTTTTACATTAGGTATTTCAATACGTCTGTTATGTCCACTACGCAGTGTATGACGAGTATTAAGGTGTGTGAGTGGTATAAGAGAACAAACAGGGCTGTTGTTATGAAAGTAAGTTAAACGAAAGTAGTTACGTCGATCAGAAATTGATCCTAACATTTTCCTTCCGTTGGTAGATATGGTATCTAAATGCGTTTTCCACGTTAGAGTTGGAGATAAAGTTACATCGAGAAGTTTAATGGAAGAAACACGATCGATAGGAGTATTATTAATAGATAAGGATAAGGAATTTGAAGAACTTTTCGAAGAAGTAAACATGATCCATTGACATTTTTAACATTGAGATTTACATGATTGTGAGAGCACCATTGTACAATTTCATTAATAGTTTGTTGCGCTGTGGAAATACTTGTTAAACAGAACATGTCGTCAGCAAAGAGTGATGTTAACACTGAAGATTTTATTGAAGAAGATAGGTCGTTGATAAAGACTAAGAAAAGGAGTGGACCCAGGAGACTGCTCTAGGGTATACCCGAAGTAACAAGCACACATGACGGGAATGAATTTTTTACTTTAACAGTTTGTGTACGGTCAAGAAGATAAGACTTAAACCAATTTAATAGAACACCGTTGACACCAGCGGTAGAAAGTTTTTGTAGTAGAATCGAATGAGGGATTTTGTCGACGGCCTTTTCGAAATCGAACGCCACACCTACAAGATTTTCACGACATTCTAGAGCCTCATAGATACGTTTAGTAATGTATAGAAGAGAATCGACAGTTGAAGTTTTGGGTCGAAAGCCAAACTGTGAAGAGGAAAGAAGTTATTTTTCGTAAGAAAAGAAATCGTCGTTTTGTACACAATTTTTTCGAAAACTTTAGTAACACTTGAAAGAATAGAAATAGGATGATAATTTTGTACCATAAATTTGTTTTCTTTCTTGAACACAGCACGTATAACTGCTGTTTTCCACACCGAAGGAAATACGCCAGAATCAAGAGATATAGAGAAAATGTGATGAAGCTGAGCAGACAGAACATCTGAACACAATTTTAAGAATTTAACTGAGATATTATCTGATCCTAAACATTGCTTGTTTTCTAATGCAGAAATTGCCTTAGAGACATCAGCTACAGTAAAGATATATTAGAGAGTAAATTTATTGGTGCAAAAGATCAAGACATATTAGAAGATACAGTTGGAGAGAAAGTTGTTTTGAAAAAATCGGAAAATAATTCTGCTTTAGAAGAATCAGTAGAAGCTGAAGAAGACAAATATTGAAGAAGAGGTGAAAAATCTTCTTCCCGTTTTCTGTATTTCTTTATAGATGACCAAAATTTTTTGTTATCCGAAAAAGATTTTAAAATGGAGCTAAACACGGCTTTTTTATCCTTACGTAAAGATTTTAATGAGGAATTTCGCAGAAGTTTATATTGTTGGAACTGAGTTGGTTGTTGATGTTCATTTTTAAGTTTACGAAATACTTTATCACGTTTGCGCATCAAAAGTCGTGTTTGTTTAGATAGACGAAGTACCCTTTTCTTTAAAATAGAAACTGTTTTAAACTGTGATCAATCACAGTTGTTACATGATCAAGTCAAATTTTTATCGCTTGGTTAGGATCTTTACTTAAGAAAACGTTCTGCGAGATAAGAGCTAATTTTCTGTTTAGATCTGACAAATTAATATTTTTAAAATCAAGGATTTTTCTGGTTTGTTTAATTAATTTAGTTTGAAAAGGAAAACAAACAGAAAGAACTGAATGAGATGATTTTCCTAACGGAGAGGTGGGAGAAGTACTAGGTGAATGGATATGAGAAGAGAAAAACACATTATCTACAAATGAACTGTGAATTGTAGTAGGTAGAGAGAAAGAAGGTTTAAGATCAAACAAAGAAAGAATAGCTTTAAGTCCTTGACAAGAGATAGCAGAAACTGTACGAACATTGAAATCACCATAGAGAATGAGTGAATGATCTTTTTTAATACAAGATAAAAGAAAATTGTGAAGATTTTCATAATAAGACGCTTTTTCTTTAGGACGTCTGTAAAGATTACACAAATAAAAAACTTCTTTATTAATACAAAAACTAAGAAGAATAGCCTGACTAACTTTGGAAGAAGAGATAAAAGAATGAGAAATATCTGCGCGAATATATATAGCAACACTACCTCTATGTCTAAGATTATCACAGCGATATAGAAAAAGTTAAGAAGAGAAATATCACTGTCAGATATCTCGTTAGAAACAAAAGTTTCTTGTAAACAAATAATAGAGGGATTGTGGTTATTTATAAGAAGTTCTAAGTTATCAAAATTTTTCGTCAGACTCTGAACGTTATGTGAATATAAAAGAAATACATTATTAAGGAAAAAGACAGGCGCTGCTGGATTTAGCTGAAAAGATGGAAGAATGGATGTACTAGAAGATATATGAGACACATTCGGACTAGTCAAAACAGACTGGTCAAATATGCTTGCATCAGAAACTTGAGCTCTATTTTGTTGCGCAGAAAAAACAGACGAATTTAAGTGTGGCATAGGCAAAGAAGATGACTTACAAGAAAAAGAATAACGAGAAGAAATGTCACTATTTATTGACACGACTGAGGGAACTGATTCTCAACTTAGAAACATACTTGTTTTTATATTTTCTAATACCTATTAATAGCTTGTTCCAAAAAGGACGGGTCCGTAGAAGCTAAGGAATCGGCCCACTTTTTCTTTTGCTCAAAATGGTCCTGAGACTAGCAGAAAACCAGGAACATTCGATTTTAGGTGCTTTCGAGTGGTTAAAGCCCTTCCATCCCGATAGGATCTTCACTTGGAAGCGGCCATTATGGAGCACTAT